CTACTTCGCAAAATTAGGTAATATTTCCCCCAAAATTCGAAAATCTACTTCCCCGAAAAGTCGATAATCTACTTTCCCGAAAAGTAGAAAATCTATCTACTTTTCGGAAAAGTAGATAACCAACTTTCCCGGAAAGTAGATATTTCCCATTTTTTATGATACAAATTTCCCGTTTTCTATGATAATCTACGTCGCAAAATTACGTAATATTTCCCCCCAAATTCGTAAATCTACTTCCCCGAAAAGTCCATAATCTACTTTCCCGAAAAGTAGAAAAGCTATCTACTTTTCGGGAAAGTAGATAACCAACTTTCCCGGAAAGTAGATATTTCCCATTTTTTATGATACAAATTTCCCGTTTTCTATGATAATCTACTTCGCAAAATTAGGTAATATTTCCCCCAAAATTCGAAAATCTACTTCCCCGAAAAGTCGATAATCTACTTTCCCGAAAAGTAGAAAATCTATCTACTTTTCGGGAAAGTAGATAACCAACTTTCCCGGAAAGTAGATATTTCCCATTTTTTATGATACAAATTTCCCGTTTTCTATGATAATCTACTTCGCAAAATTAGGTAATATTTCCCCCAAAATTCGAAAATCTACTTCCCCGAAAAGTCGATAATCTACTTTCCCGAAAAGTAGAAAATTTATCTACTTTTCGGGAAAGTAGATAACCAACTTTCCCGGAAAGTAGATATTTCCCATTTTCTATGATACAAATTTCCCGTTTTCTATGATAATCTACTTCGCAAAATTAGGTAATATTTCACCAAAACTCGAAAATCTACTTCCCCGAAAAGTCGATAATCTACTTTCCCGAAAAGTAGAAAATCTATCTACTTTTCGGGAAAGTAGATAACCAACTTTCCCGGAAAGTAGATATTTCCCATTTTTTATGATAGAAATTTCCAGTTTTCTATGATAATCTACTTCGCAAAATTAGTTAATATTTCCCAAAAATTCGATAATCTACTTCCCCGAAAAGTCGACATTCTACTTTCCCGAAAGGTAGAAAATCTATCTACTTTTCGGGAAAGTAGACAACCAACTTTCCCGGAAAGTAGATATTTCCCATTTTTTATGATACAAATTTCCCGTTTTCTATGATAATCTACTTCGCAAAATTAGGTAATATTTCACCAAAACTCGAAAATCTACTTCCCCGAAAAGTCGATAATCTACTTTCCCGAAAAGTAGAAAATTTATCTACTTTTCGGGAAAGTAGATTACCAACTTTCCCGGAAAGTAGATATTTCCCATTTTCTATGATACAAATTTCCCGTTTTCTATGATAATCTACTTCGCAAAATTAGGTAATATTTCTCCAAAATTCGAAAATCTACTTCCCCGAAAAGTCGATAATCTACTTTCCCGAAAAGTAGAAAATTTATCTACTTTTCGGGAAAGTAGATAACCAACTTTCCCGGAAAGTAGATATTTCCCATTTTCTATGATACAAATTTCCCGTTTTCTATGATAATCTACTTCGCAAAATTAGGTAATATTTCACCAAAACTCGAAAATCTACTTCCCCGAAAAGTCGATAATCTACTTTCCCGAAAAGTAGAAAATCTATCTACTTTTCGGGAAAGTAGATAACCAACTTTCCCGGAAAGTAGATATTTCCCATTTTCTATGATACAAATTTCCCGTTTTCTATGATAATCTACTTCGCAAAATTAGGTAATATTTCACCAAAATTCGAAAATCTACTTCCCCGAAAAGTCGATAATCTACTTTCCGAAAAGTAGAAATTATCTACTTTTCGGAAAGTAGATAAATCAACTTTCCCGGAAAGTAGATATTTCCTATTTTCTATGATACAAATTTCCTGCTTTATGATAATCTACTTGCAAAATTAGGAATATTTCTCCGTAATTCAGTAAATCTACTTCGAAAGTCGATAATCATCGAGAATGATTTTTCGAAAGTAGATAACCAACTTTCCCGGAAAGTAGATATTTCCCATTTTTTATGATACAAATTTCCCGTTTTCTATGACAATCTACTTCGCAAAATTAGGTAATATTTCCCTCAAAATTCGAAAATCTACTTCCCCGAAAAGTCAATAATCTACTTTCCCGAAAAGTAGAAAATCTATCTACTTTTCGGGAAAGTAGATAACCAACTTTCCCGGAAAGTAGATATTTCCGATTTTTTATGATACAAATTTCCCGTTTTCTATGATAATCTACTTCGCAAAATTAGGTAATATTTCCCCAAAATCGAAATCTACTCCCCAAAAAGTCGATAATCTACTTTCCGAAAAGTAGAAAATCTACTCTACTTTTCGGGAAAGTAGATAACCAACTTTCGGAAAGTAGATATTTCCCATTTTCTATGATAAAATTTCCGTTTTCTATGATAATCTACTTCGCAAAATTAGTTAATATTTCTCCAAAATTCAAATCTACTTCCCCGAAAAGTCGATAATCTACTTTCCCGAAAAGTAGAAAATCTATCTACTTTTCGGGAAAGTAGATAACCAACTTTCCCGGAAAGTAGATATTTCCCATTTTTTATGATACAAATTTCCCGTTTTCTATGATAATCTACTTCGCAAAATTAGGTAATATTTCTCCAAAATTCGAAAATCTACTTCCCCGAAAAGTCGATAATCTACTTTCCCGAAAAGTAGAAATCTATCTACTTTTCGGGAAAGTAGATAACCAACTTTCCCGGAAAGTAGATATTTCCCATTTTTTATGATACAAATTTCCCGTTTTCTATGATAATCTACTTCGCAAAATTAGGTAATATTTCTCCAAAATTCGAAAATCTACTTCCCCGAAAAGTCGATAATCTACTTTCCCGAAAAGTAGAAAATCTGTCTACTTTTCGGGAAAGTAGATAACCAACTTTCCCGGAAAGTAGATATTTCCCATTTTCTATGACACAAATTTCCCGTTTTCTATGAAAATCTACTTAGCAAAACTAGGTAATATTTCACAAAAATTCCACCCTGGTCCAACTTGGCACACCTGGCCCACCCTTGCCCACTTGACCCACCTGACCCTTGGTGTTCTCAGATATACCCCGGTGACCTCAGATAACCCCTGGTCACCTTAGACAGTCCCTGGTGACCTCAGACTATCCAAAGTGACCTGAGACAGCCCCTGGTGCCTCTGACAACCCCTGGTGACCTCAGACGACAACCCCTGGTTATCTAAGACAACCCTTAGTGATCTCGGACAACCATTTGGTGACCTCAGACATTTTCTGGTGATCTCAGACAACCCTGACTGTCTCACACAACCCCTGGTGATCTCAGACACTGTATCAAAAAAATTGTAAATTAAAAGTTTTAATTTAAATATATAAATATAAGATGAAGCATAAATAAATATACAAATATGAATAAATATAAAGTGCTTATGAAGAAACTTTTATTTAATAACTACCCATGTAATACAAAGTCGTTCTTTGTGTCCCACCCTTCATAGATGGCGCGCCAATTGGAGGCCACGAAGAAAATAATAGGTGTAAGGAGAGTTCAATATCCTTCCTGTATTTTCCTTGTTTTTATCTGTGTACATGTTCCTCTATAACTGCCAATGAGAACAACTTTCGTATCGAATTTGTGTGGATTCCGTCCCATGTTGGAATCAGGTATCATGACCATGCTGATAGACTGGCCAATGAGGCATGTAAGAAAGAAAATGTTGACCGCGACCTTGGTCTGTCCAATGCCGTAATTAAAAACATTCAAGTCAGAATCATGAACTCTGATCTAGAAGAAGTGAGAAATGCAGAGAGACCTGTGTAGTGGAATTCTCCCCTACAAACGCTGTTTGTCGCTGCCTAGCCGACCCCACCAATTCCCCAGTGTATGCCTCGTGGTCTAGGTCAACCAGCGCCGCCATACACCACGGAGCGGGGGTCAACTACTAAGCCACGCCAACCCCCGCTATTTAAGACCTGACCTCGTGGTGACCTGCCTCTCTCTACCTACAGCCGCAGCCAGCAACACCTCCTCCTCCTCCGCCTGCCTGGCGGTCCTCTCTCCCGCTGGCGAGCATGGCGACCCACAAGCTGTCCTTTTCTGAGCACCCTCACCAACCAGCTCTCTCTACATCACGCTTGTAACCATGCTGCCTTCCCAGCACCAAGCTGCATTGTACATCCAATACAACTTGTATATAGAGAGCACATTGTGAGTTTCCTTTCTCCAACCCATCCTGAGTGTGAACCAAACAATCTCATACCCCACACCTGACAGTTGTAGCATTAGTAAATATGACAAATTTTGTAACAAGAGGTACCGGTATGGCCAGCATAAGGACAGAACCAGACAATGTGATGTAGTCGTGGCCAGAATTAGGCTAGGATACAGACACATCTGGCAAGTTAGTAACGCTGTACCCATACCGGAACACTCAGCATGTAAACTTTGTGATAAACCTTTAAAGCATACACTTGAACACTATATTATTGAATGTGACACTGTCAAAGACTTCAGGCCACCTGACTTACTGTATCCTGAACTATGCAATTACTTCATTGAATCAGGTGTGCTTGAGGACATTCTTGCTGTTTATCCCAAATTTGCTAGCCCACACTGATTAGTCTTCAATTAGAATATGACTCCAATGTATGTGATCCACTGTCCTATATATGCTGCTGGTGAATGTGATGTATTTCCTTCTTTGTGTACGAACCTCTGTCCTGTGTGGCAGTGAACAGTGACATTATCCATATGAATCTGACCTATATACATTTATAGTTGTTAATGAATATGATGTATTTCTTTGTGAATGAACCTCTGTCCTGCGTGACAGTGAGAAGTGATACCGCCCTCAGTGTCAAGACCTGACTGAATTACTCACAATAGGCAAACTCTACTACAAGCTTTGTTAATAAATTTGTTAAACTAAACTAAAAAACTCTATCCTATATATTTATGTAATTATCTATATTTTTCTATATATTTATCTATATACCTTTTTATTTCAATACCTGTTATTTTTATATCCAATCTATATAAGACGACACAGGACAGTAAGCGACCGGACGGGAGGAGCCAAAACAAACATGATGTTCAGTGGAGCTGGAGAAGACGTAGATAATACTGCACACGAGGGAAATATTATGCCGGCTTTTACGTTAGTTGAGAATGGTACTGAAGACAAGTATTATAAAAAGTATAACGCTATCTTAAGGAGGTGTAGCAGTATACAAAAGGTACGTGGTGGTGGACGACTACTGTACTGATCACTTGTAATTTATTAACATTTTTCTGTTTAATATTCATCACATAAGACAAATGTTTCTGATAATACTTCACCAAACTGAGTCATGGGAAGGATTAACTTTAGGAAAACTTTCTGTAGATTAAAATTTTTGGGGGTAATGGTACATTTTTACAAGTGGATTACCAACACCCTAAAAACATCAAACTAACCTAACCTAACCTCATAATGTAATGTAACCTAACCTGTTGTGTTAGGTTCATTGGTTGTCTACTAGTAAAAAAATATTGGGGTAATTTGTGAGGAATTCATGACCACCAGAAGGAACTGTTTGAATTCGTTAATTTTTCCCACATGTTCTTATTATTTTAGTAAGTATTTTGGGTATTATTATCGTTTTGGTCATTCAACTAATTTTAGTAGGTTAGGATAGGTTACATTTGAGAAGCAGTACTGTGACCTATTTTTACTGGTTAGGTTAGCTAACGAGCCGTTCAGTGGTAAAGAGGATAAAAGTAAATGTGAAGTAGGTTAGGTTAGGTTCCAAATAGGTGGATGACCAAAGCGATAATTTTAACGTATTTTAAAAGAGGCAACAACTTTTTTTAATTATAAGTACTGTATATTTGTTTTTAAATTTGCTAGTTTTTCTCGATCTACGGTCATAAATCACCTGTAGTGGGTAGAGCATGAAGGATAAAGGAAATTGCAGGGTAAAATACTAGAGTGGATGCAATATGTCTTGACACGGCCTTGGTCCATCCATTACTAATGGGTGAGAGACCTACACCGCCTCAGGGCAATTGCCAGAAGCCTCCACAAAGATTCATAGCAGCTACAAAACATGGGAAATTTAAATTGGGCCCATGACAATATGCAAGTATCATCACTTTATGAATAGGCTAGGTTCCTTGAAACCATTCTTTAAGTGAATATTCGTTTATTGAATAACATGACATATGGGAAAAATATAGTTTGGTTCCCAGTCCCCCCCCACCCTCCCCCCAAAAAAGCAATATTATACCTAAAAAAAATAAATTGGTTCACACAAAACTATAACTACTGTAAATTAGTACCTAACTACTGTAAATGAGTGACCATATTTGTTATACAAATAGCTTTTGTATAGTGAGAAAGATGTGTAAGAATAAAATATTCAGAGAGTGAACATTCATATAGCAAGGGATACCTGGAGTGCAGAAGTTGTGGGATATATCCAGAACAGTGTGACCCCCCCCCCCCGGTCCCACAATTGTTGCAAGATGCCAACCAGGGATTAACAACCTAACCTAACCAAACTAACCAGGCCTAACATAACCTACCTACCCAAACCTGTACTGTATAAAGCAGCAGCCACTCAAAAAGTAGTGTACTGGTATAAACTAGTGGTTTAGGTGTGAAAGATTCATTATATATTACTGTACTGTGCCTGCAATAGTACCTTTACCTGCATCTATACCAGGAAAATAATCCAACAAAGGAAATTTTTACCTTACAGAATTTGATATATTGTACTACTGTATATATATATATATATTTTATTTCTTGTGGCCTTTCATTTTGTGTTGTTCAATTCTTTTGTTTTCTGCAGGAAAATGAAATGTTGGTGAATCGAGTGTATCAAGTGAAGAAGATCGTCCGGCGACTCAGGAAGGAAAGAAAGTAAGACATCCTTGCCGTATAAAATACCTGTACCTGTATTCCGAATTTCAATTTTTAGGTAAGGATTTGTCAATACCCCTGTTCCAAGAGAAAATAAGTTTGTCCCCCCCCCCCCTAAATCCATCAAGTTTAATGCATTGACTTTTTTTTTTCAGTGTTTTTTAAAAGACCAAGAACAAAACAATCTAAACTCTTTGATATAATTTTATTAATTAGCTGTCTAATATTGTATTACTTTACTTCCTCAGGTTCTTGATGGAGGAACTTGATAAGCGGGGTGACAACTATAGGAGTTTGCCCTTAACTATTGCCATTGAAGAAGAGGAGAAATCTTTTGCATTACCTCAGGTAGAAGGTTAAAATAGCACCAGGAGTTACCTAATTAGTGCTATTTAAATAATGCATCTTTAGTACTGTACAGTATATTATAAGCTATCAAAATTACTCGGCTTTATTCAGGCTAGGTATTTACTGTACTGTATAACCTTGACTGTAACAGTTGTCCTTCCTGACATGGGTAACCACCTCAACCTAGCCCATCCCTACCTAAACTAAACCTGACCACCTGAACTGTCAGTTTGACCTCCCGCAATTGCTGTTCAGGAGTCATAGGTTTTTGTTTTTTTTTCACGTATTTCTATATAAATAAACTGTATCAGTCAAGGTAATTTTCACCCAAATGAAACAAATTTTGTCGTCTAAATGAAGTAATTTTTCGTGAACAAATAAAAGTTTTTTCGACCCAATGAAATGCGCCTGATCACCAACCCTAATTACCACTCCCCCTTATACATGTAATCTGGTGTCAATGGCAGTAATACTTGTCATGTAAGGTCATAACTGCTGTCACCTCACGTCTACAGCCTCTCAGCTTGGTGGCGCCTCTGACATGTGGACAACTTGACTGACTAGAGGCAGAGGTTGGTGGCTTAATGTAGAGATAAATTACCTGCGCCTGACATTGGTCACTAATGCTGGTACACTGATGACCAGCAGGAAGGTGGGGCCAAGCAGCACCTCACAAATATATGTCCAAGTACTGTATTTTCCAGTTAAAATATTAGCTTCTCCGCCGGGCATGTGGATATGAAAAATCAGTTGCCCAGCCCCAAATCAGCTCATGGCCGGACTGACAGGCACCACTAATCTGTGAAGCCTGTGTTATAGATATGTTGTATACCTGTATTCCTTACTTTTATCATGTTCAAGGCAATCTTAAAATATGTAACTTAAAACATACTGTACTAATGTTTTTACAGTATCTTGATTTACAGTATATGTTTTGTGGGATGTGTCTACAATTTTATATACTGTACACTGCAGTACCTGTATGTTCCAGATTATGTTAAATGTAAGTTGATGGGATGGGATATGAATAATGTTTTTCATTGTTTTATTTTCACTATGTTGTGTATACTTTATTGAGTTGATCACCATTACAGACATCCAGCCTTCCTGCACTGGGACGACCAAGAAGCACCAGTTCTTCCTCTAGTGTCAAGCGTCAGGTCAGTATCAAAATAGATGTCAGAACAAAGTTAGTACTGTGTATTGATAACTTTCCCTTTGTCATTACCCTCACATATATAACTTTTTTGAACTGCCATTGTTTGTGCTGACAGGATTGCAACAATAGGACAGTCACACACTCAACTATACTTAAGCTTAATTTAATATAGTTGATAAATTAGGGAATATAATGATATAAAGTAGTCCATGATTCACTATTATGCAGTTTGGAAAAACATGATTTTAAAATAGATTTACAGCACTGGAGAGCTCCTCTCAGCTCCCCAACCAGTTGCCCCTCTTGCCCTACTCTAGCTATGGCACTGAGTTTTACTATTGCTGTGTGTAAAGTTATGATACTGTTTTAAAGCCAAAAAATGTTAGGTTGTAAAATGGGGGTCTATGGGAAAACTTGTTTTACTTAGTACATATTTGGATGGCATCTACTAAGCCAAGTCGGGTTGGAAGCTGTAACTGTTAGTGTATATACATTCATTTGACCATCATTATAGTTACAGGTAAAGCGTGAAAAACCAGAACGTGATCCGACAGCCCCAAAGCGCCCCAGCAATGCCTTCCTTCAGTTCTGTCAAGAGCAGCGAGACACCACTACAGCCCAATACCTTCAGCAGACAGGACGGCCTCTTGACAAAAAACATTTGACTAAGCTTTTAGCTGCACGCTGGAGTTCCCTTTCCGAAGATGATAAAAAGGTAAGAAATTCTTTATCAAATATTAGTTGTCCTCACAGAGATGTTAGTCATACAATTTGTCTTGAAGTAGTGTCTGGATCTACTTAGCTTGTGAGTAAAATTGTGAAATAAAATAGAGGTGAACCCCGATAACTGATGTCCTGTTGACTGCCAATTCGCATAACCGATGATTACATATACCCGGTAGGGGAATTATCCCGCAAGTTTCGTTGATACCCCAGAGATGCGACGATCGGCTGAGCTGGTGTGGCGCATATATATATATATATATATATATATATATATATATATATATATATATTACCAGTAAATGTGAGGAATAAAGAAATCTAATACAAGTGCAGATAAATATAACAAAGAAAAAATATTGCATTACCATTTGGTAATACGTAGTTTCGTGATACACGGGACACGAGACAAAAAACAGCTGAGAACCCCTGCTTCACTCCTCCCTCTCCCACTCTGTAATAACTCCCGGGCAGGTAAGAAATGGTTTTACCTTCTAATATTTATTATTATTATTATTTATTTATTTTTATTTTTTTTTTTTTTGCACATTCTGTATGAAATATTGTGTGGACATGTAACAGAAAAAAAAAGTATGTCCACCCGAAACTAAGAGTTGAAAATAATCGCTCTTGAAGGGTCTCAGGGATGGAACCTATTTTCCCTATAAGGTATTAAGATTAATTTACGATCAATCACCTTATGATGTCTTTTCATTGTACTGTACTTAGAACAGTTAAGTGATCTGTTTGATAATATGAACAGTATGATGTTTTGGTTTTGAATCTTGGGTTTGTTCTAGTGTTTGAAAAGTTCACAAATGGACAAAATAAGTGTCTTATAATTAAACAGTGTGTAAGAGGCATTATATGGGTGCTTCACCAGGGCAATATGAGAATATATAATTATGTGAAATATAAAATACTGTACTTTGCTATATGTAGTTTTATACACACAAGCAAAAGAAGCACAGTACTGTACATGGAAAAATGGGAATATTACATAATGTATTTAGAAATAATCCGGTAGTTTCTTCTTTTTTACACACACACTCACACACCTTTCATTCAGAATTATGCAGTTCCTTCCAAGAGACCAACTGTATTTCCTTTTAAGTTCTTTTTCATTGTATTGAAACATTGCTTTATTTAGCTAGCAAATCATATCCCACATTTCCTTACCATCCCCGCTACAATGTTTGTGTTATTTGTTTCCATTTATTTTCATGCATCAAGGAGTGAATGCAGGTTAGTACAGGTAAAACTGCTGTCCAATCACATTGTCTATCATGATGCAAAGTCTCTGTTTACTGATTTCCTCTTGGAGCATTGAAGTTGAACTTCAAGCCTTAACTTTTAGCCTGTAATTGGTCAAATTAGTAGATCTATGTACGTGAGTGGCCTTCTCTGAGCTGTCTGTTACACAGATCGACTAGTTTTACTTTTTTAAATTCCTGAGAAGTCTGAAATGGCTCAGAAGGATTCATATGTACAGGAAAGCCTCCAATAACGACGGTTCAACTAACGACGATTCATATTTAAGACCCTGGTTAATTTAGGACCCAATTCAATTTACACCATTATTTTCTTCGTACAGTATTTTCGACGAAAATATTATAAAAAATCAAGTAAAATTACATTTTCATATAAATACTGCAATAACTAAATCCCGATATTTATTATACAAATAAAAAAAAACACGCTTTACGCACGGAGGCTGCTGGTCTTGTGAGGGTGATGCCAGCATCACTAGTATAAACAGTCGCAGCTGGCGGGCCCTTTGTTTTCACGCATCTGAACAGGAAAATGAGAAAAACAATCTCAAGTTTCTTACAGCATTTTTTGTGTCCCTATTCAACATGAGCAAGAGAGCAAGATATGATAGTGCTGGTTCAAAACCTAGAGGAAAGTGTATGAGCTTAGCCGAGAAACTTGATGTGTTAAAACGATATGAAAAAGGTGAGAGGTCTGTGGATATTATATGGAGCAAGCAATGAACATAATATTATTTTCTGTAGTGGATCCATTTACAGAATGAAGCATTAAAATTAACAGGGACGTGAAAAACACATAAGACCTCTACATAAAGATGTATAATGAGAAAAGAAAGCAGCTGTGAAAGGTTCTTTCGACAGCTTTATTATTCACAGGCCTAAACCACCAACTTCAGCTACACCACCAAATTCAGCATCATAAGCAGCTTCAGCAACAACTTCAGGTTCAGTAACAGTTTCAATAACAGCTATGATATCTTTATGGAAAGCTTCAGCTTCAGCCAGAGTTGAACCTGATTGACGAAAGCATCTGAGTAAAAACTCGCACAATATTCATTGGCTGTCCTAATGTTTTAGACTTTACCACCATTTGTGAGTAGAATTTTTGTTTTATATTAGTAAGTATTATTTAAAACATACATGAACAGTAATAAGTGTTGCATACATAGTCTTATGTAGAGAAATGATGATGTTTTCACATATTATACAGGTACGCACTACATACAATGGCGTTCACAATCTACAGTATTTTGTTTTTCTTTACCATTAATGGTTAGCTACTTCTGTTGTTTCATTTATTAACATTAAATAACATTACTTAATACATACATATTCATTTTTTTTACATTAATTTTACTACAGCAACAACCAGGGCCTTATTTCTTCAGTTTCTTATGTAGAAGTAAAACCATCATCATACCTCATGGGTGTTGTAAACATGAACGAAAACAATGCCGTCTCGTCTCCTCTTGTGTGTTTTAATATTCTACATATTATTAATGAATTGCATTGTTCATTTTGCATATACTGTATATAAACATTAATTCAATCAAATACATATTCAGCAATAAACAATAATGAATCTTTTGTACATATTCTTAATAAGATAAAAGACGCGGTTACCTTGAGGGCACAAGTGTATGTTGCCATTCCACTATCACTCTTTTTTTTTTCTTTAGCATCAGTGGTTACTTTTACTGTACATTAAATAACATTAATTAAAACATATTTTTTTTTACATTAATTTTACTACAGCAACAACCAGGGTCTTATTTTCTTCAGTTTCAGATGAATAACTGACATTATGGGTGTAAACACTGACAACAACAATGGCATCCCATCTCCTCTTGTGTGATCTTGTTATTATTGATTTATATTGTACAAGGTGCATCCATAAACATTATTTCAAGAATATAGTTTGCATTTTTCATTAATTGTATTGTTTTAGGGGAAAAGAGGGTAAAAAGCCACACAAAAGTTATGGAAATGTCACACTGGGGAATGCATCTCCATATTATTGCTTTATTTTAATGGTAATTAATGATTCATGATACGATGATTCACCTTACACTGCAATATTTGAGGACAGATTACCGTCGTTATTCGAGGCTTTACTGTATGTAGAATATGACAAATGACAACATCTCAAGACACATCAGCCTGTTTAAGCAACCTCTGTCCCCCTCCAAAATGCCCTTCTGAGTCAGATGATGCTGTTAGGTAAGGTGTGATAGGGAGACAGAGAGTAAAGCAAGACGGCCATTAGGGGAACAGCAGGACTTTGTTTACTGACCCATCCACCACTACACCCAGCTGCTCTCTCCTCACCACCTCTCAAATTTGTTGCCTTCAGCACATGTTAAGATATATGCCCAGAGACCTTGTTATATATACAAGAACACAATGTTAAAGTGTACAAAGACACTAGGTATTGCTGCAGCGAGTGTGATTGTTCTACTGTGCTTGATGCCCGGCTTTGAGCGATATCATACCATCATAAACTACTAAACAGAAAAAAGAAACATTGTAAATATGTAAATACTTATATAATTATTGTAGAAGCAAGAAACTTTGGTGAAAAACAAAGATATTCATATTTGCAAGGTCGTGTGTGTGTGTCAGTATTGAGACTTGTTGTTGCCAGTTCATAATGTAAACAATGGTAGTGTGAAGCAATAAACTTGTATCTGATACACTTATTACTGTTATGAATAAAGCAGACATATATAAGTGATAAAAGTGATTTAAGTCCAGTAGAAAACATGACCCGATGTGACAACACAGTAAGTTACATCACACTCTACACCTCCTGACCCGGGAGCTTCAAGATGGCGAGTACAGCCGAAATTAATGCTATCAGGTTTTATGCACCAAACTACATCTTTTAAGGGGAACAAAATTTAGCCGGGGGAAGGGGGGGGGGTGAAATTTAACTTTCCATAACCCGACCAAGTACAGGTTAATTAAATGGTAAAGTTAGTCTATCACTGAGAAAATGTATATAAAGGCGAGTTAAAACCTGGACAAATAAATACCTGTACGCATACCATAGTCATTATCGACGTGTGCCTTGCCGAGAGAGTAGAGGTAGCAGTGTAGTATTTATTTATATCAGGATTGGATTAGTAGTTTTAACAGGTCTAAAAAGCAGGATTACTTGATTTATAACCTTTGTATATAATTTGCATACAGCAGTTCCTGAGATGTTACCATAAGTGTAAGAATTCATAAAAGGTCGAACCTTTGTATTAGTGTGTTTTATTGCATTTGTTATTTGGTGCTCTGGACAAAATGATGTATAATTGTCACCTAGTGTTGTGTCTCCACTTGTGTATTCTGCCGTGATTGGTCGATGCAAAGGTATTTTCGTCTGAAGACAACCGTCCCAGAATTCCAGCGACGAGCGAAGGCGAGTCTGGCAGGACGGTGTTCCTCTGTCAGTCGTTCTCTCTTGGCGGGAATCTTGTGGTGGATACCTGCCTCATGAAGCCGCCTCCGGACAGTTCTAGCACTCACGTCCAGCCTCAGATCTTCGCAAATTGCAACAGCATTAATGAAAGGGTTGTCCTCAGCTGCTCTCAAGATCCTTGTATCGTCTTCAGGAGTAGTCACTCATGGCTGGGGATGTCTCAAAATCAAAAAGAAAATGCTGATTAAAAGCCACTAATTTTTTATACCAAGTAAATATATTTGACTGCCTGTGTAATCACTAATAACATGTCAGTCTGATCAGTCAAGGTCGTTCAGGTTGCCACTCTCCTCCCATCTTCTAATCCATTTGATTACAGTTGCGGCTGATATTCCAAGCTTACAGGATATGACTCGGATAGAATCCAGCTTCTCGTAGGCCCACAATGCAACTTCTCAAAGCTAACTGGGTGTCACGACGGTTCATCTCGAAGTCTGAAGAGCTTTCTATTGAATTCTATGATTTCTAGGGTCGCGACATTACCTCGGAGGAGTTTTGATTGGCTGTTGACACTTGTTACATGGTCAACAAGCAAATTATCATTGTTTTTGTTATTTTGTATTGTATTCCATTCAGGGGCAGATGCATTTATGTCTTTAAGCACTTGTTTTTTTTTATGTCATATGTCATTATTAATTTCATTACTTGTGAAAATAAAGGATAAGGTGTGTGTGTGTGTGTGTGTGCGCGTGCGTGTGCGTGTGTGCGTGCGTGTGCGCGTGTGTGTGTGTGTGTGTGTTACAGATGGCCCAATGCCACAAGGTAACTTCCTAACATTATAAAGGATAGCATTACACACCTACACATCATTGGCAACTACTTGTCAATATCTTTTGTAGCACCATGCCACTCGAATCACCGTATTAATATGATAAGTGTAAAGAGATCATTTTGGTTTACCCGGTGCGAGGCTAGGTCAAAACATGACTTACAACAGCATGTTGTTTCATTATACACTATTAAGGCTTTCATGAAATATAATGTGCATATAAGAGCAGTGGAATCACCAAAAAATGTGTATCAGCTTAAAGTTATATGTCGGATTTGGAAAATAATTATAACTAAGAAATTGGTCGACATTAATCATTGACTGGCACTTGTTTTCCCATACTGTCCTTCCAATAATTGGTGCAGGAAGGTTAATATCGCGTGTCTCTCTTGCCTCGAATTTTAGATTAAAAATTAACATTTATAGTGCCAAAAACAAAACAGTCTAATACTACTGGAAAAAAATTATTCCTAAATTAAATAATCCCTTCTACTTCCATTACTTTGTAATATATAAAATAAAATATAATTATATTATGCAACACGCAACTCAAGAACTCCCCCCATCTTTCCCCCTCCCCAAACCCTTCCATCCCCACCCACACACACACTGTTACCAGATCGTCAGATGATTCTACCTCTCTGGTCATCTGGCTGGGTGTTCAATGTGGAATAGTGCGCGACTGTACATCTATCCTTGATATTCTCTGATTTGGGATAACACGGTACCCTCAATC